TTTTTTTTTTTGGTATATATAATTATGATGAGAACATTTATGATGCTTTTAATTACGAAAATCCAAATAAAATGAAAAAAAAAATGTAATTCACTCTGATGAATATATTAATATAGAATGTTTCGATTTTACGTGTTGCATACATAAAAAGATTAAAAATATTAATTTTTATTTGTTGCAACTATCTATTAATATTTAACACTACCTAAAATTTAAAAAAAAATTGTATTATCAATAAAATTTTATCTATAAATTCAATTCATATGGACTAAAAATATTATATTATTATAATAAAAGAATGGCAACTTGTACAAGTGGAAAGCCTCATCTTAATATATATTATAAATTTAAATAAATAAAAAACTTTCTCTCTAACATTTTTTAAATAATGCAATTTTTTCAAAAAGTATTTGAAATTTAATAAAATTACCTCTCGCTTACATGTTTATTAGTCTACGGGTGCTTGCTACTTTTTTTCTTAAAATCTAAAATTAATGAGAAAAAATAGTTTCAAAATTTGAATACCTTTTATAAGAATATATATATTATTATATATTTATTATGACACTTTTTATTTGTGCAATTTACTTGTGTTATATTATACTAATTTTTTTTTTACTTACAATATATAACTACATTACATATAAATATATCAATTGAAAAATAATTTTATTTTTCTAATGAATTTCAATAAATATTATTATTTTATATTATTATAAATATTAATATAATTTATTTATTTCATATATATACAATATGGATGTCAAATCGAAGATCATCAAAAGATGATTAATTTGATATATTATATATGTAAAACTGATAAGAAATACAAAAGTTATCAACTTTTAAAATACATTTATAATTCAATAGCTTATTGAAGGAAACAAATCAAACTTCAGAGATATATTAGTCACTTAGTGCCTCACTATGTAAAATTACAAAGAATTAAATGGTTATATTAGTAAAAGTGATAATAAAATACCTAAATTAGCTAATTAATATTTATGGAATACCCGAACCTAGATTATTAATTATTAATATATCAATATTATTTATCCAAACCTAATTACGAAGCATGATTCTTCGCCAAATAGGATTCCGAAGCACCAGAAGCAGCCACGTAGGCTCAGCGCATTCTGCAATTATATATAGGGAGGATGTGTGTCTTCAGTTAGGTGTATGATGGTTAAGGCTTCGACTGTCTGTGGTACTATTCTAACAAACAAATATCGTTACCTTCATACTTAAATGTCATACTTTAAACTACAATGTAAATAAAATATGGCATCTCATAACATAAATATATATTTTTTGTTTATATTTTTTGTTATATAAATGTCATACTTTAAACTACAATGTAAATAAAATATGGCATCTCATAACATAAATATATGTTTTTTATTAAAAAAATATAACCATACCAATAGATAGCCTAACAACAGAATTTGAGATTAAAAAAAGTTTTATATAGTAGATTTCAGTGTAATTTCTATATTTTATTTTTTTTGAAATGTTCACATGTAAATGTGCAAAGTTGAGTTGAGTCATATAATAGACGGTCATTTATGTACTAAACAGCATAAGGGACAGAACAAAATTGCTGAGACATGAATCCAGACTTCACAGACATGAGAATCACACTTAACCATCTCAATCTCTGTAGTATTTTATTAAAATACTAACATAAACAAAAAGTACCATATTTCATAATACAAGTATGTTGCATCTTTTAAAGAAAATATGTCAGCCCTAACCAGTTGGGCATATCCTAGTAACACATATATGCTGTTTATTCAAATGGATGAGCAACAATACAAACATATCCCGACGAATTTTTTCGATCCACACAATTTTCAAACACCGGTGGGGTCTCAAATTTTACTGGCAAACGCCAGGCCCTCGGCCGCCAGCTGATCCAGGCTGGCTGCCGGGGGTTGTACCCTTGCAACTTTAGCAATGGCTTTGTTCTCTTCGGGAGTACCACTCTCGAGAAAGGCCCCAACGACTTTACCATCCTTGATCCAATAGGACCCGAACTTGTGAGTGGCGGAGGTCGGTTGGCTGTCGCCAAAGAGTACAGAGTCACCAACATTGTCACCGTAGAATTGCCACGATAGGTCGAAGGCCCGGGAGTAGAAGTAGGGTAGATAGTCGTATTCGGGTATCGATGTTCCTTGCTCGGTTGCGAAAATCGCCTGCAATGATGCAGAACATGAGAGTGTCTTAAATAGTGTTGTTTGATAGTTAATCAAATGGATAGTAAAGTGAAATCGGCGTGTAAAAAATGAATCTTAATAACTGATATGATGATACCTTCACGGCCTGTTCAGCCGATTTGCGAGCATGGTCAACATGCTCGACTCTTCTAATTTCATTATACAGCTTCAACGGGAATGTAGCAACATCACCCACTGCGTACACATCAGGCACACTCGTTTTGAAGAAAGAATCTGTCTGAACAAGACAAAAAAATCTCTTAAATAAGTTGCAAGAAGAGCAGTAAACAAAATGTGGTCCGTTTGAGGATGAAAAACTGAACACACCTTGATGCCACCCTTTTCCTCTTCGATTTGACCCTTAAATAGTGTCGTGAGTGGTCTGCCACCTACACCAACAACGACAATGTCGGCTTCCAGTACCCTGCCATCCTTAAGCTTCACATTTGTCACCTGAACAGAGAAGAAAACGAAAAGGAAACTGAAATGTCATCTGATGCCAATTGAAACTCGTC